AGGAAAAACGGGAATTTTTACGCAAAATCGATTTTTCACAAAATTGATTTTGGTTTTTGGTGTAAAGCAAATGAAAATATTTTGACTCTTTTTGAGCTGTTTACGAACATTTACAGTTTTCAATTTTTTAGATTCTGAGTGGAACGATGAATGTATTGATTTTACAATGATATGTGTTTTTTTTTATATTTTTTATTTTTTTTGTGTCTGTCATCACGTTTTAGGACAGTAAAGTTCTTGGATTTTCTTCAACAGTATCTTTTCTGATAGGAAAGTGAATCTAGTTGGTATTTTGGGGGGTCAAAAGTAAAAATTTCCTAGTAGTTTTCAAAAGCGCCGTGAAAAACAAAAGAAAAATTAAGGAAAAACGGGAATTTTTACGCAAAATGAAATGAAATTTTCACTGGTTGTTTATATTAGCATTTTCTGAAAATTTTCAGTTTTTAATTATTTTAGTTTTTTTTTCTATAAATATCAATAAAGTTTTATCGGTTGGGCCAAAAAGTATAAAAATTTAATACAAGGCTCCTGATAAATTATTACAATATCAGTTGAAAAATATTAAAAATACATAGGCACAATTTTTTTTTATAAGCATTTAAAGATCGAATTTTGACAAAATTTATATAATTTAAAATTTTTGTAGTTAAAAATGTATAAAATGTTCAACTTTTATATTTAAGGATTGAAAATTTAAAACAAGATTCCGTGTAAGTAGTTAATTCTGTTCCCAAAAAATCTAAAAAATACACAAGCACAGTTTATCTTTATAGTAATTTTAAGTTAAAATTTGGACGAAATTACATAAAAAAAATATAGAATAACTATTTTAGTTATTTCGTTGTGATTGTATATTATTAGTGGGTACTTGAAACTTCTAAAGTACACTATTATATATCTATGATAGTATAAGGGTTTTGTTGATGTATAACGCGTTATAAGTACCTAATGGATATTGTGATATGATTAATTTGGAATTTATTATAGATACCTATTATATTTCAATTTTTTTTTATACCATAGATGTGTATATAATATGTGTTATACCTAGACTGACATACCGTCTTCGCTCAGAATCGTTTTTCTTATACAATGATATTATATCATTGAATTCAAATTTAATACCATCCATTATACAGTGACCCACTTGTAACCTACTGTACAGCAGAGCACCTTTTTAGTTTTTTTATCCATAAATTTCAATTAAGTTTTATCTGTTGCGCAAAAAAGTGTATAATTGAATACAAGGCTCCTGATATATTGTTACAATATCAGTTGAAAAATATTAAAAATAAATACTCACAATTTTTTTTTTAAGCATTTAAAGATCGACTTTTGACAAAATTTATTTAAATTAAATAATTATTTTGTGGTTAAAAATTGATAAAATGTTTATATCCAAGGATTGAAAATTTAAAACAAGGTTAATCGTTAATAGGTTATACATAAATTATTTTATTCACAATAGAATCATCAAATATACACGTACATTACCCTGGCCCCCCTCTTTGAGATTTTTAAAAAAAAAACTAAGTCTCGAATTAGCATGCATTTGCACGACTATTTTTAGAATTTGCACGACATTTTTTACGAGTTATTTATAAAAAACTATGGGGGGCTGGCGTAACGTTACCCCAGCCCCCCACAAGTGAAATAATCACTTTTAAAATTTTTTTTTTTATCAAACATTAGCACGTCATTAGCATGCATTTGCACGACTGTCGCTGAACCCGAAACTTTAAGATTTTCCCGGGAAAACCAGTTTTCCACTTTCAGGCATTACCCCAGCCCCCCTCAAAAAGGAAATAATCACTCTTTTACAAATTTTTTTTTACCAAACATTAGCACGTCATCAGCATGCATTTGCACGACTGTCGCAGAACGCGAAACTTTACGATTTTAAACTTTCACGCTTTACCCCTGCCTACTTTAGCTTTCCCCCTCGAAGCTTTCCCAAATGAAATAAACCTTTTTCCCGTTTTTTTTTTTTTTTTACTACATACGGTATTTCAGGTATTTGTTATATAGGACTATTTCTAATATTGTCTCATCAAAAACTCATAAGTAAAATGGACGCATAGGAATCTTGTAAAGTACTTGAGTTAACTGTAAAAGTATTCAACTACCTACTTTTTAAGTAACCAATAGTACGTATTTTTAATACTTTTGAAAAAAGTACTTGAACAAAGTATGTACCTACTGTTGTATAATTTAACTACGAATTGGTGTTAGACATAGACATTCATTGTCATTTTAAATTTTAAATGAGAGATTTTTAGTTTTCACCAATACCATATACTTCGAGATAAGTATTTTTTACACATAATATATTAATATCATAATCAATACTTACATTTGATTTAATTTACATTAACATAATTAAACACGATTAGCATGCATATTTTAAATTGTACATTACACTTAAATGCTAACATTTAATATTGAACTAATTGGTATTATAATTATACTAGCTGATCCTGTGCACTTCGTTTCCCGTTAAATGTACCAATACTCTATATGACTCAAACATGGTTCAATGCGTTATTTAATATTCGGTGTATGATGTTCTAGATTTATCTTAACTTTTCTGTTGCCCGGAATAAAAATTCTGTTTCGCAGCAGTATATTATCAGGTAGGCAATCTACCTGTGGAATAAAGGCATAGATACTAGAAGAAAAAGCATTACATATTATGGAATGCGGACTGTAGACCTAGTTATATCTAGTTTGCAACGTAATTTTTACGAAAATTTTATTCAACTTTTGAATTTCAGAAACGCTTGAAAATATGTATTTAATGTATTTATGTAATATGTATTTTAGCTAAGTAATATTATAACAAAATATGAGAAACCTCAAAAATATCAAATGTCTATAAATGGCTTAAAATTATGAGAATATAACTGTGTATAATAAATATGTATACTGTTTTCTAACACATATTACTAGTTATGTAACTACTCTTTCATCTGCTGCTACTAGAACTCAGCGTGTTCACATTTTTGTACTTTGTGACCATGAATCGTAAAAACAAAGAAGGGGAACTTGAATCATGGACGACTCAGAAAGCAATATGTAAGATAATAATGTTGTTGCGTGTTAGTTGTTAGTTGTTAGTACTATTATACCTTTTAACGATATACATTCTCGCACTCTCCTAAGTCCTAATACAAAAATGGTAAATTTAAGTAAAGAATTATAGTAGTTTACATATTTTATATCTTATTTATTATGCAGTGAATAATATATCATAATATTACGTTAAATATAAGTGGTAATAAATATAATTTTAATAGCGTATGGATGATTAATATAGGTAGGTACCAGCTGCTACTAGTACTTAATATAATATACTTTACACTATTTTTGTATTTTATTGGGTATATTGATTACATTTATTATGCTTTTAGTGATTTGTATGTTGTTCAAAGATACTTACTACTTAAATGCTTATCGATAAGTTTTCAATTTATAATCATCAAATAATATTATAGTGAGGATAAATTTAATTTAAAAATAAGTATATATTGCGACTTATGGGTAATGTTAACATTAGCCATGCTTTATACATATAATTTGATTTGATTAGCTATATAATTTTAATATTATCTGGATAGATAATGACGTTACCTTTAGCTAGTGAATTGTGGATAATGTTAATTTTTCAATAATTGCTAACGATGCACGATGGTAAATTGTATTACGATAATACAATTATTATCATATATAGACAATACATTTTATATAAATACAAAAGTCTAAGTGTTAATCTTAATAGTTTGAATAGAGATAATAGAAAAGCACTTCTTATATCTTCTAATGTCTATGGGTTCGAATGTATGGGCATTGTGTATACAGTATACTAATATCTAAGATTTAATCATAGCTGAGTGGAATTTTCGAAATTAATCTAATAAGTTAACAGTAAAATTATGACATCCATATGGTTTTAATCAAGATTCGAGTCATGACGAACTATTACGTCAAAAGTGGAAAACACTCAGTAGTTTTTGTTGCGTAGGGAATAACCAAAAAAAATAAGAAACAACAAGGACGTTGAAGGGAAACCAGTTTTTGATAAAATTGATTTTATTTTTTTTTTATATAATTCAAAAAATGAATAACCGTAGTTACTTTTAATTTTTATTAAGTGTTTATATGATAATTTTTCATACTTGGTAAATTTTTAAAATGTTTGAATTCTTTTTGAGGTTTTTTAGTATTTTTTCGTTTGTCTTTGATAAATAATTTTTCACTCGGTTAAAAGACTTTAAAATTTAAAACAAGGTTTCTCGTAAGTAGTTAATATCGTAACCAAAAAGGTCTAAAAAAATATACCAACACAGTTTTGTTTTATATACATTTTAAGTTTAAATTTGGACAACATTATTTATAGATATTAAACAAAGAATAACGCAATGTTAGTTATTTTTTAGTGTTGGCCAACGATATCGATAATTCGATATACGACATCGATATCGTGGGTATTTCCTAAATAATTTCGATATCGATATCTATATGATATATCGTCGGCCTAATTCGCAAAGGTCGTATGTCCAAAATTACAAATTGTTCAGGAGAAGAAAAAAAACGTTTTACGGCCATATTATTAATTGGAGATACGACGATTTCTAATTATCAATTTCATGGAGGATAATATTATGAAATCGGAAATTTGATTGTATCAACAGACGCAGTTTTTTTTTCTTTATTTTATGAGTAAATAATCCCAAAATGACAAAAAATGGAGATACGACTTTTGCGAATCAGGCCGACGATATATTTATCGATATATTATTTTTATTATATCTGCAAAAGTAAATACTAAACGTAGATTATGATAAAAGGCGATATTATGTTCCAAAGAAATAACTCCCCACATCAAACAATTTAATCTAAATTCAGTACCGGTTGTTAACTCGCGGTGAGACGTAATTATTTTAGTTATTATTTTCGTAATTATTACGTTCGTTATTAATTTTATTATTTATACAAACAAAATGAATGAAAACTTTAAATTAGTACCGTTGTCTGGTGCTAGAAGTGATATATGGCAACATTTTGGTTTTAAAGTTAGTGAAAAGGGGATTATATTAAATAAAAATCAAGTTTTTAAAAAGTGCAAATGTGCTGCTGGTTATAGTGGAAATACGACTAATCTCAGTTTCAGTTCTGAAACATTGATGGAAAAACTGCTTGAAGAAGAAATTTTTTGATTAAATACATTGGATACTTTTCAGTTTGTACAAAATAATTTATAATTGTTGATTAATTTACACTCATAATAAATTAAAACAATATGTATTCTATACTTTTGATATGCTTCGATATCGTTGGCCAACACTATTATTTTTATGTAATTCGACGACTTTAAACATCATTCTAGAGGACTCATAAAATTATCAATCTTTACTATACACAAAACCGTTTATAATATATTTAGATTCATTTTAAGATATTGCCTAGTTATACCATGAACTCGAGGATTATGTAGTATTAATAATTATCTCAAAATTTAAAAACTTTATAATATGATAAAAATATAGGTAGACTATTATAAATTATAATACTGAAATAGGTATAATAAATTCAATGTATTCTGCAAAAATTATACCAATCTACTAAAGTGATACTATTATAGCAGGTACCTATAATAAATTACTTTAATATAGCAAAATCGAAAAATTTCAAATACATCATGAAATTATGAAATATACTTGATAATAGTTGATATAGATAGTACCTATAGACACACAGACCGTCTTCGTTCAGAATCGATTTTCGTATGTATAATGATTTATCCCTGAATTCAAATTTAACACTATAACAGTGAATTACTTCTCAATTATGAAATTTAATTTGTTGATAGTAAGTAATAGGTCAGGCGGTGGCGAATGAATTTAGAATAAAAAAGCAAAATAATAATTTTTTATAATTACTTATTTAATAACAGTTATCTAATACTAATACTACCCAAGGATATCTATATAGTATCTATATCCGTGCTCCTATTACCTAATCAAACTGATTTTTATTTTCAGATTTTGACTGTAATGAATATTTACACAGCCATTGCCTACACTAAGTTCCACATGAATTTACTATTATAATTAATAACTACATATGTACACAAGCTGAGTGTACATTAATTTTAAAATCAATCGCTTAGCATTCACATCCGATAAAAATGAAAAAGGCGTGTAGAATTTTATTAAACTTGTATTTATTTATCGGATGCATTTTGAGCTGCTCGGCTTCTGATACGCCTAAAGTGCATGTCAACTCTGGAGAAATTTCAGGTGGATATCAATATACATATAATGGTCGTAAAATTTACTCATTCGTAGGCATACCGTACGCAAGTCCACCAATCCAAGACTATCGATTTAAAGTATATTAAGAACAATTTTTATATTTATACGAGACTATTGAAATTTACAACACATTGAATATTATTTTCGTAGGAGCCACAACCCTTAAAGCCTTGGTTGGGCATATGGAACGCCACCATTCCTGGAAATGCCTGTTTAGGACCTGATTATAAATCTAATTTTAAAATTATTGGTCAAGAAGATTGTTTATATCTCAACGTTTATACGCCAAAGGTAAGTAAATGAAAAATACTTTTAAAAAGATCAATCATAAATTATTGTTTTATAGTAGGTATACCTATATTATGCACTGTTTCTTTTTGTATCTATAAATATTTAAAACACTGAAAATCTATAGGTACTCAAAACACTTCATTAATTACATAAACACTAATAATTCGAGCTATGTACTGTAATTGTATTACAGTAAAGTAGGTATATCATTGTTCTTAAATCTATATCCTAAAAATGGTGAATACCCAAACACCCGAATACGGCATTGCAATGATTTAGGTACATTAAAATATGATTTCATTAATTAAACAGCTTCCACAAAAGGGTAAGCCGGGAGATTTAATGAATGTAGTGGTGTACATACATGGTGGCGCCTTCATTGGAGGCGAAGGCATTACCTACGGTCCACGATACCTTTTGGACATCAACGATTTCGTTTATGTATCTATCAATTATCGTTTGGGCGTATTAGGATTTGCCTCCACTGGCGACAGTGTTTTGCCTGGAAATAACGGAATGAAAGACCAAGTAGCAGCATTGAAATGGATACAACAAAACATCTTTGCGTTCGGTGGTAACCCTAACAGTGTCACTATCACCGGCATGTCAGCTGGAGCAAGTTCTGTTCATTACCATATGATTTCACCTATGTCTAAAGGTATGTGCAGTGAATGTGTAATCTACAATGTTATACCTATTAAACAACTAAAAATTACATTATATTATATACCTTATCAGTTATCGTAATCCGTAATACATAGTTAAATTATAATTCGCACAGACAACATTTTATAAAATCCTACGTATATATCTGGTCTTTAGTTATAATTATAGTTATAATTACTTTAAGGTATATAAACTTATAAATATTTTACATTTTAAGGCTTATTTCATCGAGCAATTCTTCAAAGCGGGAGTGCTTTTTGTCATTGGTCGTATGCTGAAAACGTTGATCAAAAAACAAAGTATATTGCAAGCTTGCTGGGATGTCCAACAAATAATTCCGTGGATATTGTTGAATGCCTTCGTTCTAGACCAGGAACGGAAATTGCAAAATCATTTTTACACTTCATGGTAAATATTGTATTGATTATTAAATAACAAAATTTAAATTTCCTCAACTTGTATTTTATTTACAATTTAAAATATAGCCATGGAAATACAATCCTTTTTCACCGTTTGGTCCAACCGTTGAAGTAACAGGAGACGAAAAATTCTTACCCGATATGCCAGAAAAACTCATTCCATATGACATTCCAGTGTTGATGAGTGTTAACCAAGATGAGGGTCTTATTGAAGCAATATTCATTGTCTACCGAAATGGTCTTAATGAACTAAACAATAATTGGAATGAATATTTACCACATCTCCTTGATTATAATTACACTATTTCAAACGAGAATCAAAGAACCGAAGTTGCCCAAGATATAAAAAAGTTTTATTTTGGTGATGAAACAATATCAAAAGAAACTATAGGCAATCTTGTGGAAGTAAGTTACACTATAAGTGTAGGTACATAATATATTTAAATATAAACTTTAGATTTTAACATTTTATAATTTTTTTTAAAGAAATAAGCTTATTATTCTAACTAATTAACTTTGTTTTATAAATTTACTACATATTGATCAAACCCATAACGAAATGACAAATACACAATTCACGTGATTTTTTGTTTTCTTGAAAAAAAGGAATATAAGCCAGTCAACATTTGTTTTAAATTACTACCTAATTTGTTTTGTTTATTTAAGAACAAAAACATATTCTTATTATTATGAACAATTTATATTGTAGGTATCCGAAGCTGGGTAATTTGCCGATTAGTAGTATTAGTGATTGATTTTTATGTACACGCAGTTCATACTTCATTCTAACAACAATTTGGCTTATTGTCGTATTTTTTTATTGTTGTTAGTTGTTACGTCCTGTCGTGGACGAAAAAAAATGTGATAAAAAAATACAGTAATGAGAAAACAATATTTCCAAAAATATTATGTCTTAATATTTTTGTATTTTTTGATTTTTAAGTCATATGGTATGATTTTAACATAATTTATTTATGTTTAGGGATTATTTTTCTAATTTTAAATTGCATAATTGCATGTATATTAGATTTATAAAAATTGTTAGTGCATTAAAATCGCTGCACTTTTTATTGTATCCACTTACATGGGTAGTAGATACATTTATTATATTATCTTTTGACAATCATTAAATAACCTGTTATCAATATGCTTCAGATGATTTCAGATAGAGTGTTTGGATATGCTATGAGTAAAGCAGCTCAGCATATTGCTACAAAGAATACAGCTCCTGTATATTTCTATGAATTTGGATACAGTGGTAATTATTCGATCTTGGCTAGTTTCAATCCAAAATCATATTCCCGAGGATCAAGTAATAAATAATATATTTTAGATACCTAATGTTTATTTGTATTTGTATTTTTAATACATAATAATATTATGTTAATTCATTATGAATAATAAATTATTAGACGTAACTCATTCCGACGATACCATTTATGTATTGAACACGAATGATTCCCCTGTTCATGACAATGAAGAGGACACAAATATGATCAAAACTATGGTTAATATCTGGGCAACCTTTATTAAAAATGGGTAATTATCTACATTTCATCAATGATTGTTATAAATATAAAAAATTTAAATATAATGTTATATTCCTAACCTAACTGTATTCTAAATTTCTATAAAGACGTATCATAAATATTTTTTTATACTCTAGGTAGGTATTTATAAATAGTTATCCACGAGACAAAATAGGTCAAAATCATAATGTTTATAGTTTTATTTTTATTGTTTTAGAGCACCGGATATTGGAAATTCTGAAATTTGGTTACCCGTTTCTAAGAATCCAGTAGATCCTTTCAGGTTCATTAAGATTACTCAACAACAAACTTTTGAAGCCAGAGCACAATCGAACCATCGAAATTATGCATTTTGGAGTAGTTTACCACTAACAGAATTTGATGATGTTAATGTGCCGGAAGACATAAAAACTGAATTATAAATAATTAATATTAAGACAAGACGTTTATTACAATAATACTATTTTTAAACATAAAATATTTATTATTATTATTATTATTATTATTATTATTAACGCTCAGTGGGCAAATAGTAGGTACGGCCGTACGGGACATATAATAAGTATTAATATATAGGTAGATACAATCAGTTTACAAGTTAAGTACAATATGTGGCGTAGAGAATTTACATCGTTGAATAAAAATAACCGAAATTATTTGGTAATGGTCATTACTCATTACTTATTACAATTATTCACATTGCGATTTATTGAACTATTTAGTATTATTTAGGATTAGGACAAAATATTGTGTACAGACTACAGGTTTCAATGTGGAATGTACTTTTTATGCGAGTGTTCATCTGTAAGACACGAAAATGAATCTTGTTTTGCAATAAAATTCGGGACACACTTCTTTACCATTTAATAATTTCTAGAGAGAAATAAAATATCATTATAATCACGTCGATATGAGAGGGATTTAAGCAGGGGTGGACTTACTGGGTTGGCGCGATACCGGGAACTTTCCCAGTGGCCGCTACTCAAAATTAATAAAA